ATGACCCTCTGAAATATCTCCATTCATCTAATTCTGACCTGTCGTGCATCCTGATTTTAATCAGCCACATTGGTGGCAGGGCCATATGTTTTTAAATTCTCACCAAGCCACTCTGCTTCTCTTTCTTCCTTTAAGACTCTTAAAACTAATCCTTTCACCTAATTGTTAGTAATTTGTCCAAATATTTTATGTAGCTTGGAGGCAAATTTTGTTTGATAACGTCGTTGTGAAGCGCCTTTGGATGGTTTAAAAAGCTTCTCAAATGAAAATGATTGCTGTTGTTGTGCTCCCTCTGTAAAATTATAAGAAAACAAAGAATGGGAGAAGGGCGATCAAGCCAACCAGAATTGTCACATTAATCCGTTATAGGCTGTCTTCAGAAGTGCCACTGGACCTGAAACATTAACTCTGATTTCTCTCCACAGATGCTGCCAGACCTGCTGAGGTTTTCCAGCAATTTCTGCTTTTGTCCCAAATTTCCCACAACTGCAGTTCTTTTGTTTATTTTATGCCATAACAGGGAATTGATTCTACTTCTTTAATTTCCTCTGTGTAAGTCATTTTAAACACTGAAGATTATCAGCTGAACATTTGCATTTTTATGCACTTCCACATCTCCATTCAATTACATTGCTGATTAGTTTTACAAGATTTTATACTGCTCTTCATTTTCACATAGAAAGGAATTGTGTGAAAGGGACCAATTTCTTCCTTTTTTGTGTGTTTAAGAAGACAGCAATGGTTAAAAGAGCTTTCTGCTGAATTTGAATTTTTTTTGATTATTTTAGCTGTAGAAGAGGAAGCATCTAACTGTGACCTCACCGATGATCTAAGTAAGGTTAGAAAAACATGTTTCCACATGTAACCAAAATGTTCCTTAAAACTTCTATACTTTGCATGGCTCTATTGCAAAAAAAGCCAGGGAATGAAACTTTAACTTTGAAAGCAACGGAAATAAAAATGAGTAGAGTTGTAAAAGGATGTGCTGATTCACTGTCATCCTATTACACAACCTCAGACTTTACAAAAGGGAGTTCTTCTAATATCCTGGCTAGTATTTATCTTTCACAGCACAATGAAACAGATTAACTGATCATGGATCACGCATACTATTTATGGGACTTTGCGCAGTGCTAATTTCCTGGGAAAGTTTTGCTCATATGTCTTATGAGACTATCTCAGTGGTGTAGTGTTAATGCATCATAAAAACGCTGCAGTGCATTATCCTATATTTAGCTGATATTGAGATGTAATTTAAGAAACAGTTATAATCTTAGGTAAATAATGGTTACTGAGGACTATAGGTTAGAGGATGAATTGATCTATAATAGAATTATTGTGGCTTTGATGTGAGTGACTATTTTTATTCCTTCTTTATGAAGAGAATAATAAGGTGCCGCTGGCCAGAGTGGTCGCCCTGAAATTATAAAATCACTACCTTTCCTAAGGGTACATCAGATATGTGATGTAGAATTTGTTGGAGGAACCCATGGGAGCACCAGGATAGTTGCTAAATTTTAATGCTACCTGCATGATTACTTAAGTCTTCATATTTCAAGAAATTTGGCTGCTACCTTAATCAGTTTAGCAGTGACAACTCCATGTTTTGCTTCGAGGAAGAGGTTTTTGAACTTTCTGTTGACCCTTTACTCTGAAGTTTTCGTTTATTGACAGTGAACAAGTTCCAATCAGATAACCTTGTGATAAACTGAAAAAGAAAACACAGGCCAAATTACCAAACCAACAAAAGCATTGCAGGGCAGGAGATACTTGCTGGTGGGATCTGGAGGAGGAATTTAGCAAATGTTTTTCTCAGGACTTTATGGCATTTCTGCTTAATTGAGTTTCTCAAAGAAAAAGCAGATACTTCAATTACAAGCTAGTGCAGAGACTTTGCTAGCAATTTGTTAATAATCAATACTAATATCTAAACAGTGGAATGGAATGGCACTGAAATTGTACTCCTCCTTTACAGCACTTGTTGCCATATTCCATGGCTTAAAGATCACAAACCCACTCCCACAGCTATTGAGAGAAGGTAAGTAAGGGAGTAGGATGGCACATGGTTTGGGGAGGAGGAGTGTTGTGGGGGTGGGGGGGCAGAGGGGCAAGGTGCATGAGGAGTACCAGTGTCAGAGGGGTTGAGAATAGGGTGGCGGATGCGTGAGGAATACAGGTGGCAAGTAGATAGGGGGATAGAGGCCAGTTAGATGGCATGGTAGGGCGTGGGTTTTGGTAGATATTTTGTGTCTTGTCCAAGGTTGGTTTGATGTTTGTGGGCATCTGGGTTTTGGGGGCGGGTGGGACAGGGCGGTCAGCAGCGGCTAGTGCTCTGTTGGTGGAGAGTGGGTCACTAGTTGCCAGGAGTTCAGGAAACATAAAAACAGAAACTAGGAGCAGGAGGAGGCCATGTGGCCCTTCAGACCTACTCTGCCAATCAGACCAATCATGGCTGATCCTCTATCTCAATGAAATATCTTTTGATGTCTTTAAAATCTAAAAGAAAGTAACTCTTTTTTTGAATATACTCAGTAAATTGGTCTCCACAACCTTCTGTGGTAGAGAATTCTGATCTTTGCATGAAGAAATGTTTCCTCGTCCCAGTCCTAAATGGGCTACCCCATCTTTAAGACTGTGTACCTTGGCTCTCGACTAGACTGTATCCAGTCTGTTAGATGTTTATGCATTTCAATCAGATTCCCTCTCTTCCTTCTAGACCCTGGTGAATGCAAGCCCAGTTGAAACATCATTTCTCATCGGACAGTCCTGCCATCCTGGTATCAGGCTAGTGAGCCTTCATTCCACTCCCTGTATGGCAAGCATATCCCTTATAAAGTAGGTAGATCAAAGCTGCACAGTGTACTCCAGGTGCCATCTTTAGTAAGACATCTCTACTTCTGAACTGAAATCTACTTTCAATGAAGGCCAGTTTAACATTTGCCATCTTAATCGCTTGCTGCACATACCTGTATACTTGCATTAACTGGTGTACAAGGATTCACAAAGCCCTTTGAACAGCCACAGGCCTTAATATGTCACCATTTAAATATTACACTTACTTTCTATTTTTTGCACCAAAGTGTATAACTTCACAGTTAGCCACACTGTAATGTATCTGCCATGTTTTTGCCCACTCACTGAACTTGTGTAAATCACCTTGAAGCCTCCTTGCCTCCTCCTCACAACTCACAATCCCACCCAGTTTTCAGTCATTGGCAAACTTGGAAATGTTGTATTTGGTTCTCTCAGCCAGGTTATTTATATATATCATGACTATCTGGGGTTCAAGCATTGATACTTATGGAACCCCACTAGTTACTGCCTGACACTCAGGATAAGACACATTTATCCAACTCCCTGTTTCCTGTCCATTAACGAATTCTTAATCCATGCTAATATATTACCCCCACCTCAATGTGCTTTAACTTTGCCCACTAACCTCTTACAAGGGACCTTATTAAAAACCTTCAGAAAATCCAAATACATCACATCCACTGGTTCTCCATAATCTATTCTAATAACTATATACTCAAAAAACTCCAGTAAATTTGTTAAGTGTGATTTGCTTTTCGTAAATTCATGATGCTTTGTCCAATCCCGTTAATGATTTTCAAATGTTCTGATAAGAAATGCTTTATAATAGACTCCGACATTCTCCCATTTACTGATATTGAGCTAAATGGTCTGTTATTCTGTGTTTTTCCTCCCTCGTTTTTTAAATAATGGGGTTACATTTGCTACCCTTGAGTCGGAAGGAACTGCTACAGAGTTGATAGAATTTTTGGAAGATGGTAAAAGAGTTACAGCATGTTTTAATCCCTCTACATTTCGTGTCTAATTATTAAGGTTGGAGCTGTCCAAAGTCTCTGACTCTAAATTAGAGCTGGAAACTTTTTCAGTGATTTCTTGATGCTGGATAATTATCCAGCTTTCTGGGCAATTCCCTTGGAGTTAGCAGCATGGGATCTTTACATAGTCCCAAGACACAACTGCAGTTTACAGTTCAGCAACATCAAGTTCCCTCTTGAAAGACCTGGGCCTTTGTCAACACTTAATAATAGAAATTATCCATGTAAGAACCTGTATTGCTGCAATTATACTGTCTGAGCAGTGATGGATTTTATAGCATTACAGTTGTGTGCCTCATCTCAGCTTCAGCTTCTCTTCAGAGAAAATCTCATGCTCCAGCCAACTTTACTCCTCGTACTTTCTCCTTGAAATGATTACTGTTAATTATTTTTAGCTTATTAAAAACAAAACTTATATCTACATCAATTTCCTGTCCTTAAAACTTGCTCTCTATTGCCATTCTTTTTATCACATGTTATTTAATGACATTTTGCCACTACGAATTTCAATATCCTCATTTCTAATGGAAGTCAGCTATATAAAACCTGGGGTGAGGGAAGAATAAACTGGTGAAGTAAATTAAAGAAGAGCTTGCACTTGTAGTACCTTTCATGACTTCAAGATATTCCAAAATGTTTTAAATTATAAAGAAAGACTTGCACTGATTAATGGCTACACAGCCAATAAAGTACTTCTGAAGTGTGGTCACTGTTTTAAGTAGGAGAGACAGCGACCAATTTGTTTACAGCAAGCTCCCATTAAAGTCAATGAGTTTATGACCAGATATTCTGGTTTGGCGGCCTTCCTTGAGACATAAATATTAACCAGAAAATCGGGGAGAACTCCTGTGCTCTTTTCAAAATAGTGCCAATGAATCTTTTACATCCAGTTGAGAGAGCAGATGGGGGTCTCAATTTAATGCCTTCATTTGAAAGATGGCACCTCTGATAGAGTACTGCTCCCTCAGTAGTGCAGTGCCAGCCTATATCTTTTACTCAAGTCTTGGTTGGGACCTGTACCCACAACCTTCTGATTCAGAACTGACCACACCTTATGAAAGTATATGTTTGTTAAAGCAGAATTGCTATGGTTTATAAATGTGCCTTCTGTGTACATAGTGTATAAATTAGCTTCTCATTTTTCTGTAACAGGATTATGTCTACAAATGAAGTTTTATCAAGTAACCTATCAGAGTCAAATAGTGTACTGGAACTGCCAACTACATACAGCTTACCACATATAGGTGAACAGCTGATGTTTGAAGATATTGTCAGAAAACATTCAGATTCTGTTGTTATCACTTCTGCCTCAGCGACGCCCATCACAAGTATAGGTATGTAACAGACTTTAATAGATGTTTTCATTAATATAATGAATTGCATAAATTTTACAAAGGGTAAAAATTATGTTCTGGTAATTTTGAATGAAAAATATAGGTAGTTCACAACCAGTATCATGGATGTATCAAATGAATATTTGTTGTGAAGCATCGAGATTCCAAATATATTACAATAAAGTTAAAAGACCTTCTCACATTTCAGGGAATTAAAATTTGAAAAAAAACAAAGTAAAACACGAAAACATTTGACCCTTAAATTTATAAGGCAATGGGAGAATATAACACTAGTAGATTTGGTGTAGATGAGGCACAACATAATTTACAGTGATAAAGGCCATTCAGTCCTTCAAAGTGATCCTGACAATCTCCCATTGCAGCTGCTAATTTGATTCTTAAATTTTTCCAGGATATTTATCTCCACTAGCCTATTCAGGAGGAGTTAAGTAATATTGTTCATAGTTTTCCTCATGATTGCTAGATGAAGGTAATCATTCATAGAAAACCTAGAGACAATGAGAGATGAAAACAGCTGCAATGAGCTACAAATAAACTAACAAGAACTGCAAAAAGTAAAAAGAGAAAAACGTTGGAAGGGATATCATTCTCAGCATTAAAGGTTTTTTTTGTTTATTCTTTGAATGTGAGCATCTCTGGCCAGGGCAGCATTTATTGCCATTTCCTAATTACCTTGAGAATCTGGTGGTGAGCTATCTCCTTGAACTGCTGCAATCCTTTGGGTGTAGGTACACTCACAGTACAATTAAGAGAGAAGTTCAGGATTTTGATACAGCAACTATCAAAGAATGCCAATATAGTTCCAAATCAGGATGGTGACTTGGAGCAGAATTGAATGCAGTGGAAGGCAGCTGATGCTTGGGAACTTGTCCCACTAACTGATAGAGATCATGAGTTTGGAAGGAGCCGATGTGATGTAGATGGTACCATATTGTGGATGGTATACACAGCTGCAGCTATGCATCAGTCGCAAATGGACTGACTGTTGAAGGTGATGGATGTGGTGCTACTGAAATGGGTTGAGTTATATTGTGTGGCGTCATGCTGCTTGAGTTTTGCCTGAGTTGCCCCCATTTAGGCAAGTAGAAAGTATATCATCACACTCCTAACTGGTGCCTTGTAAATGGTAGATGTCATTGGATTGATAAATGGGAGTTATGCACTGTAGAATTCCTAGCCTCTGACTTACACTTGTAGCCACAGTTTTATATGACTAGCCCAATTCAGTTCTTGGCCAATGGTAACCCCCAGATTGTTGACAGTGAGAGATTCAGCAATTGGAATTGCATTGAACATCAGGAGGGATAGTTAGATTCACTCTTGTTTGAGAAGGTCATGGTCTGGCACTTGTGTGGCATGAATGTTACTTGGCACTTAACAGCCTAAGCTTGGAAATTGTCCAGGACTTGTTGCATATAATATCCAAGCTTCAATAGTTAGAAGTTGTGAGTGGTGTTAAACATTGTGTAACCTTCAGCAAACCTCCACACTTTTAACCTTATGAAGAAGAAGAGGTTATTAATGAGGCAACTAAAGATGTTTGGGTCTAGGACAGTACCTTGAAGAATTCCTGCAACAAAGTCCAGAGGTTGAGATGACTGATCTACAGTAACCAGAACCATCTTTCTTTGTGCTCTGTGTTACTCAAACCAACAGAGAAATTTCCCCTGGTAACTGTCGATTCCATTCTTGTGAGGGCTCCTTAATGCCATACTCTGTCGAATGCTACTTTCATGTCAAGGGCAGTCACACTCACGATGCCTCTGGAGTTCAGTTCATTGATTCATGTTCGGATCAAGACTTTTAGTGAGGTTCAGGAGCTGAGTGGCTCTGACCCAACCCAAACTGAGCATCAGTGAGCTGATTATTACCAAGCAAATCCCATTTGATAGTATCGTTGAAGACCCTTCCAACACTTTGCTGATGATCAAGAGTAGGCTGATAAGGCTAAAATCGCCTGGGTTCAATTTATCCTATTTTTTTGTGGACAGGACATAACTGGGAATTTTCCATATTTCTGGATAGGTACCAGTGTAAGTATAATAACAGAATGAGGGTAGATGCAATGACCTGAAAATGGTTGCAGATATTGTAATTGAAGATCACGAAATGGGAGATTTGCTAAATAATTATGCCATAATAATCTTCACTGTGGAGGATGAGCATTGAGAAATGAAGAGAACTATAAAGAAATTAATTGGAGAAACTGAAGAGATTTAATATAAGTTTTGAAAATGAAAACAAAAACAGAAGGTCAGACAATAAGAAAATAAAGACATTTCATAGAATCCCTACAGTGTGGAAACAGGCCCTTCGGCCCAACAAGTCCACACCAATCCTTGGAGCATCCCACCCAGACCCATCCCCCTATAACCCACACACCCCTGAACACTACGGGCAATTTAGCATGGCCAATCCACCTAGCCTGCACATCTTTAGACTGTGGGAGGAAACCCACGCAGACACAGGGAGAATGTGCAAACTCCACACAGACAGTCGCCCGAGGCTGGAATCGAACCCAGGTTCCTGGTGCTGTGAGGCTGCAGTGCTAACCACTGAGCCACCATGCCGCCCCAAATGTTGCCACATTTCTCAGACCAGATGATTTACTCCCTGGTTTATTGAAACTACTAGGGAGCAGAGTGCATAAGGTGGGAAACTTCCTCTGAGCCCCTCTCAAGTTAATTCACCGGTCTCCCTTTTTTGAGGCTCATAGCCTGTAATGGCAGAACGTTGACCTTCCACCAAGACTGCAAGATTATGCAGCAGCAATCCTGGAGATGTTGAAACATACTTCTCCGCATTGTCAACCATAGTGGTGAAATTCCTTGGTAAGTAAGTGTCCCAGTGCTTCAATGTGGACCACAGTGCTCCTGTCATGGTCGGACCCATGAAGTCCTTATCTCTGTCCTCTGTAGCAAATGGAGAGAGATCCTTTCCTTCCGGTAAACATTCTCCTGTACTGTTTCTGTCACCATTCCCTGCTGGTAGCCACTTACATTGGGTATTTTACCACATGCAAAATCATATTGGCTCCCTGTCTACTTCACTAAGAGTGCCGATGTATGATCTGGTTTCTAGGAAGGCTGAAGTGTTTTACAGCCTTTCCTTAGAAGGACAGTTCTCCTTTGGGATATTCTGCAGTGGCCGCTTGCTGTTGACAACTACCTAGGATGAAGAAATTTGAGAGAAAGCAGGATAACATGTAGTGGCCAGTTGTCTTCAGATGTAGTTTGATATAAAATTTCCTATATCTTCCTTTTGGTAAAGTGCAATGTAAAATGATACTTGTCACCTCATGCTTTCTTGTTACAAAATATCATTTTGTTGTTTATACAGCAGTATTGTTCATTTAGATGCAACCAAGGACATTGATTGATGAGTATTATAAGTTGTTTCAGACTGTAACAGAAATTTATGTAAAGTTATCACTAAATAGCATTTATCGAATGGAGTGGCGCAATGTATCACTTTATGTTCCAGTCCTGATCTGTTTTTCTTGTGCTGTGGCTAGATGATGCATCTACATGGAAAAGCTTTCTCTTTTAGCAAGGCACATTGGTGGAGTTACACTTACAGCTTTTAAACTCTCTATTATTTGATTCCACAACTCAAAGAAACTTGGACTGGAAATTATGTTGACACAATTCGCACACTCATTTGCTGTACTGCTTCAGTCCAATTTATTTAAATGTGGAGGCTGAACAATGATCAAAAATGTCAAATATTATTAATTTTAGATGTGATGTCTCATTCTTTAAACATAGCTCAAATTAAACATTTAAAGGTTCTTTCCTATCAATTTCTTGTTTTCCTTTCTTCCGTTCAACCTTCCTCATTCATTTTCTCGCTCACCTGTCACACAGCGATCTATTGTACATACTAATTTGGGCCTATCAATTTATTTCTGTGTTCCTCCTTTATAGTACACACAGTTTCATGTTGTAAACAACATTATAAAAACGTTATTCAATCAATCAAACTTGTTACATTTATTGGGTTGTTATCCCTTTTTATTTCATCATGTTTAACTCTTCTTTAAAAAGTGATTTACATTATTCAACCAATTCTTTCATTGAACTGAGATGATTGAAATTCTTTAAATGTTTTTGCCACTTAAGCTGCTAGCATATCCTTCCAGTCAAGTTGTTTCTGGTGATCAAAAATGAAACACTGTAAAACAGCAAGTAATCACAGATTATCCCATATATGTGATAGTGCCTCTTTCCCTAGAATTGACCAAAAAGACTATTCTGGATAAAGAATACTGTTTAGCCTCTTATTTGGAATCAAAAATTTCAACACACAAAGAAATAAATTGTTCTATCATACCTGTGCTAATACTATCTCTTCAAATGAGAACAATTGATTTAAAACACATTTGCCTGTTCTTTTCTCGTGTTGGTTAATATTTATCTGCTTTAGCTATGAACATATGAAAATGCTAAACAGGCAAAGGCCTCCTAATCAATGATACTTGCCCTTCATGTTTAGGTTGCCTGAAGTATTGTAATTAGACACTATGTACCCACTAGTAGCTATATAATCTTCAACTCGCCCGTGGACGTGGTGCCAATTAAGCCGGTTGCTTTGGCTTGGATGGTGTCAAGCTTTTTGAGAGTTGAAGGGAGCTGCACTCATACATGCAAGTAGGGAGTATTCCATCATACTCCCCTGACTTGTGCTGTGTAAATGGTGCACAGGCTTTTTGGAGTTGGGCCCAACCTCTGATCAGCTCTTGTCACCACAGTATTTATATGGTTAGTCTATTTCAGTTTCTGTTCAATTATAACTCCAGGATGTTGACAATGGACAATCCAGTGATGGCAATGGCATTGACTACCAGTGGGCAATGACTAGATTCTGACTTGTTAGAGATGGTCTTTATCTGGCATTGGTGTGGCATGAATGCTGTTTGACACTTGTCAACCCAAGCCTGAATATCGTCCAGGTTTTGTTCTATTTGGACATGGACTACT